AAGATGTTTCGGAGATGCGAACAGACATATTCACTTATTAATATTGTACATTATGCATCTGGCCACAATAATATATGGGATATATCTTTAGGTCCATGGGCGGTAGTAGTAAACAAAAAGTGAATACCAGACATATGATTGTATTGAATTAAACTTACATAAATCAATCAAAATCAAACACATAGTGCAATAAGTTAACTCCTAAAAGAATATCCATATAATTATAAAAGCCTTGCTTGTAAAGTCATTTGAGAATTTCGCCTGGTATCTAATAATAATGTTCTTGACTAATAATTTGAGACAAGTTTGCTAACTACCGCCGCTGTGGTCGTTGCTGACATTAATATCAGAGTTAAAATTAGATTAAACTCTTCGCTTCCTCCGTACAAATTTCTTAGAAGTTGTCTTAATATATCTATGTGACTTTCATAGGAAGTTTTGATAATTCAAATAAAAGATTTCAAAGAAGTTAAAACCCACAACAAACTCGCGGTTGTAAACCCCAACAAAGTCAATAGGTACTCAAATATGAGCAGTAATGAATTGCCATAAACAAGGAAAGTAAATCAAACTCCTATAACCGAAGTTGAGTTTTCACTATTACTAATTCAGTTAATTATAAATACAGTCGTGTCCAATGTTTTATAGACTCAAAAACTATAATAAATATCACTTCTGATCAGGAATAGTGTTTAAAACTTAAGAAGAATCTAATGCAAATAGTATTTTCATATGCTATGTCGAAAGGTCAAGCCTTTATCCGATTTTGAATTCCAATATAATAGGCAAAATATCTAGACCAGGGATTCAAAAACTGGTCGATATCCCAGGGGATTCCCAGGGGAAAACTGATTTTGCGGGTCGACAACGTCTATAAATCGATCTCTATAACAGGAATTAACACAAGTTGTTATTCGAAACTTTCAAGATACTGTATAACTTGTGTTACGTGTGGAAGATGGACTAATATGACTATTTATTTTGTTAAAGTTTGATGAGAAAATGATGTCAAGTTTACTTACTAAACCAACGGCAAAGTTTTTAAATTGGTAAATATTTAGTATTTATAAGAATTAAACTAAAGATAGGATTTTTTAAGTAAGGCTATGGGGATCTGAGGCATTAGTTTATTTTGAAAAAGGGGTCTCTTGCCCAAAATAGTTTTGGAATCCCTGATCTAGACAATTTGTTCTTATGTAAACTATACACTACTAATAGACTGCATTGCATTACTGGCATAGTAATTAAGATCGACTAGTTCTACGCTAGATATAAAGAAAATGCACTATCAAACCCCTGCATAAGTTTGAGTACCTCTACCTAATACATCACATCACACTAATAATAGGTCTTTACCTATGAAGTGGGAGACTTTTAAAACCAGAATTTTCAGATTTAATTATTTGTGGATTGGCGCGCAATTTGAAATTCAAGTAACATGCATAGCAATACTGAATCGGCATATAAACAAGGGGATCCTGAATCGAATAGACAGTAAGTTTAACTTTACCTGATTTTTTTTCTTGTAAGAAGTTAAAGAAGAAAATAAAACAATGAAAAGCAGTATCACAATTTAATGGACAATTATTAAAAATACAGGATATTAGTTACATTTATATTTTCGTAAATATTTTTTTATAAGATATAAAATGAGTTTTTAGAAGTTCATAATAATTATAATATTTAAGGCGCATACTGACTTGCGTATATCAACTTCATCAGCCATAGTTGAAATATGGCTCCGAAAATAACATCGCAAAAACATTTAATATACGTCACTCACATTCAGAATTCATTAAGGGTACCACAAATCAGTACGCATATTTAATTTGCAGCTTTAATATACTTCCATATTGGCCAAAATTAATGTGTCAGGCATTTCAAGTAGGATAATGAAATCATGTCGTGTTCCTAACAGTTTAGAATCAGTAATAATTAAAGTTTTATGTAATTGTGTACATCATGGTTGAAATGATTGAAGCATCATTGCCATTAATAATTACTACTTCTGAATAAATTACACTATATTTTTGAACACAGTATAGACATTTTCCTTTATCGTAAGACTTAAAAGCCAATTTATTAAAAAAAAAAAATCCTAGGGGTAACAAAAAAATATTTTTTGTTACATTGGCGACCGATTGAACTTAACAGATAAAAAAACAAAATGACAATTGACTATAAATTATTGCCTCCTAGAAACTCGTACCATTTTCTCATTTAAGACTAGTGCATTAATTTTGGCCATATATCAAGTATAGAAGAAATACAATGTAAATAGATTATTAAAGTTAGATACGATTAATAAATAGGTCTGCCTATTGCAGACTGTTAAAAGTCACGAGACTCATCAGACTACCGCCTTTATAGATACACTCCAAACACGTTGGATATCACACATTCCATATCAAAAGTATGTTTACTTTGAATGTTAATCAAAATTTCACAAACTCAGTTAATTCATTTAAATATTGTGTATTCGTTAAGACGGTCCCTTAGCGCAAGCATTCACCTGTAATGCGAATGGTTACGCAAAATGTAACATACTGTTGAGCGCGGCAATAATCTTTCTATTAAGTTGAGTAATAGAAACAAAAGAATCTTATTTGAAATTAAATAAATCGAAGTTGAGCAACTCTCAATAGATTGCTTAGGCATAGCTGCCTAAAGATATATTTTCTCGTTGCTCTAAATGTCGATCCAGTGGCTCGGAGACCGACCCTGTGGTCTTGTACCCTCAACTTAGCAGGCACATTATTTCGATAATAGGGAATATGCACGTGACACCAAAATGGACAAAATATTTTTATTTGTAATATTTATTGCTAAAAAAAGATACCCCTACAATTATTTTTGAAAATTATTTTAATTTAATAGTGAAATTTAATCATCAAAAATTGGCTTTTTTAAGATTCCCTCGCAAATTTCTAAAACGCAACGCTATTGGTTGAATGAAACGTGACGTCAACCTACACTGTCAAGAGTGTCAACAAGTTGTGTGTATTTGTAATATTTGGTTTCTGGTGATTATTTGTTTCATTTTAAGTTAATAACTAATACGTTTTCAGTGTTAAATTATTAAATTCCCGTGTAGAACGACTCAACACAATGACTGAATATACTTTGTCAGGTGCAGTTTTGATATTATTTGGGCACAAAGGAACGGCACAATATTTAAAATAAGTTTTTATTGGCTTTTCCATGGTAATAAGTTAATTTTTATCACTAACTTTTTTAACTTTCAGAAACTTTGTGAACTTCACTCTGTTGTTGACATCGAATTCGTCTGAAAGTGTAATCTAACGTCACAAAAAAAGCGCGCCAAAATGGACTTGTTCAAATTGCCCCAAAATGATAGTGATTTTAATAATTTTTTTTTGCTTAACGGTTTATATTTCGGATGTGTTATATTTATTTTTGGTAATGTAATAACTAGTAGAATCGTTTAAAAAAATAAAAAAAATACAAGCATATTCCCTATTTATTTTTTCTGCTAGAAGTAACTAATAAATTTACATTAGACTATTCTTGGACTTAACCTTAGTTTATCTTATTTAACAATCCCACGCAATATAGCAAGTTACTTTTGATATGAAATGTGTATTAGATATTCAATAATATAATGCGTTGTTTCTGGTAAAGATTGGAATGCTTAGTAATTGAGTATAAAGATATGTATATGCTCTACTAATGACTAGAAACACGCTAAAGACAGATAATTTATTAATTTAAATTTCATTAAGAAAATAACGAATATATCTAAACATAGCTTCTATACGATGAAAAGTTATTTAAAAAGGAACTTTTTACTTGAATATATGATTATATTTATTCCATTCTAAATTAAATGCAGACTACATTATGATGGCGTAAATAGCACGTTCTACACTACAAATATTTATAATAAATTCTGAAGCCAACAGCTGACATCGGTACATGTTTCACACTGTCTTAACTGCGATTTTTAACGAGTTTGTAAAACGTTTGAAGAAAGCAAGCGCAGCGTGTGTTTCATGTGCAGGAATTGGCTTTGAGCTGGTTTGTAGCTACAGCACATTATGTAGTAGCATGTCATTGATATCATTGTTCCCATTCGTTAATTGATCACATCGCACGATGCTCTTATATTTTTATGTAATAGACGCTTAGTTCAGTTAATTTAATAAAAAATTATAGTTTTTGACATTTGTTTAAAGTTGGCACCAATTATATTTCTTTTTACAATTTTAGCTTATAATATATATAATTGAACAATACCAAAAAAAATATTAAAATCTTTTCAAACATTACTTAAAAATCTTAAATCTATTACGAACATATTGAAACTTTAACAAAGCTTATCAAATAATAAACTGTATATATTTTTAATGAGTAATAAATTGTCAATTAGCTCTAAGTCAAATGACTTTTCAGAACATTTTTAAAATGATTTTAAAGTCTCATCAACATCAAAAAATAAAAAAAATATAGATAAATGATAAAAAAACTACACTATTCAATTATACTTTAAAAGAATATGAAATTGAAGCTGTTCCAAGTAGTGTTGCCAGATGTTCCTAATGCACTCAATAAATATCTATAAAGTCACTAAGATTCAAATAAATGCTAAAATAAAAGTAAGACGTAGCGGTATTCGAAAAACACTAGAAAAGATTATAAAAGCAAGTTAATTAATAATTAATAAGTCTTTGTCAACTTACTAAAATTTTGCTGGTAGGATCTGGCAACGCTACCCTATAATTTAAATAATATCCGTTAAGAATATTTTACATATCGCTTTCAAGCAAGCCAGGTCGCCTGCGCGTATCTTCGCAATCAATTAACTCGATGTCCTCAGTTTCATGTGCTGACAATCTTTCACCCATTAAATGAGCTTCACCGTTTTTATTACTTGTCATAGCTTTACTTTTATCGTCCTCTTCCAGTTTGAGTATTTCGATTTCAACACCAGTCTCATCTTTATCGACCGCCGTCCGACTGGGACGACGGTCAAGCTCCTGTCAAGTGACTTGAATTTCAGCATATTCCTGGTCCTCATATTGCAAACTCTTTTCAGCGAGACGGAAGCTTTCCAGAAACTCATTCAAATCGACAAGTCCATCTTTGTTGATGTCCATCAAGCGGCAAATATCAACCAACTGCTCTTGAGTCATAGGATTGGGCATATACTTGCCGATCAGTTGACAAGCTTCAGAAAACTCCTCTAATGTTATGAAACCTATAAAAAAGATGTTATTTCCTGGTCAAATATGTACTATCTTAAGTCTGTTTAAAGCTTCTTCTTAAAGCTATCTAGCAATAGTAGTTATGGTTGATAAAGATCTCCACTGAAGTATACCAATTTTCACGACTGTTCTTAAAGCGGTTAAAGTAATATACCTAGGTTTTCATTACCTAATTTAAATTAAAAAGTTATTACTTGTATAGTCTCGCCCTACTACTGGTGCTTTACAAATTTTAACAGGACTACAGTAGAGTAGAGTTGTGTACTAAATTGGATTTGACATCATGGTATGAAACGGTCACAGTGACAGTTAAACATATAAGCAAAATCTACTATATTATACATTCAATGCAGTCTTTTTCATATTGGTAATAAAGGTAATAAAACACTGAAATTGAATGACGACACGACGACACTGACGCATTGCTAAATACACGATGTAAGCGGTTTATAGATTCAGTAACGCAGCTTTTATTCGTCTCTAATGTCATGTTATCTTAAAATTTAAACTTAAATATCATTACCTGAATTGTCTTTATCGAGAATTTTAAATATGGCTTCTAAGCTGCTCTTATTTTTATACAATGTTTCAACGACGTTTGAAGAGTCAGTTTTACGACCAATTTTCTGAAAGGCAAACGATAAAAAAACATTAAAATTGTAACATATATAGATCGTTAATGTGACACTCTTGTTCATAAAATGTAATAGGTCTTCTTGATGCTCGGGCACCAAAGGTTATTATCTTATTTTTAAAGTTAACGTCAACCAGAATATATTCAAACTTTGGAGAGAGTCCGGGAGGATTTTTGGGATGAGGGTCTAATATTAATTGAAATAGCAAAGTGCTCGGAGATAAGTTGTTCCGAACAAAAGTATTTTTATAAATATTTAAACATATTTTCTCTTGTGTTTCTCTTAAATGTAACACATTTTCAATTAAACCTTGATTTGGAGGCCGTGAAATTGTCGGGAGAAGTGAGTCTTATCATCAACACCATAACATTAACGCTGTTTCTGGAACCATATACATTATTTACGCACACGGGAGGAGTAATAAAAGTTAGTCAGTTACTACCGTGTTTTGATATAAATGTTATTATTCTTTCTATGGTTCATGATTCTACAAATATGCAGCAATAGGTCGGATATGTGTATCAATATCTTATCAGTAGTAAGGAAAATTGGAAACGAAATTACAATCGTGCGCCCCTTGGGACACCGCATTTCGTGGATGATTAATGTTGATGGAAATGTATATTTTGTAACCCACTACCGGATATCATTTCTCAACTGAGATTAAAAATATGAGTATTTAGAAACAATTCGAAATATGTGGTGTGAAAATTAAAAACAGTAACATTGTTGTAAAACCGAACTCAATCTTAAACATATTTTTTTAAAAATTGCTTATAAAATTACAACATAAAAAATGTAGTTGTAATTGCTGGGGATTTTAATTTTTTGTTTTTTTTTTAAATGATAGTAATAGTATTTAATTTAATGAACTCATCTTTAATTATGGTATGCAATGTCATATTACCGGCCGACACGAGCAAATAAATGCATTGACAATATTGTTAGCAATATTCCAACAGCGCCTGAAAAAACACATAACTTGTGTCTATCAGATCACAATACTGCTCAAATTTTGGGATTCAAGTGTCAAAGTATTGATTCCATATGACATTATTTTGTAAGTAAAACTGATCCAAGTAAAGAAAATCTTAATAAATTTGTTGAATGTATAAGTAATTTGTCCTTTTCAAAAATATATGAAGTCTCTCAAGTCAAAACTGCATTTGATAGGTTTCATAACTTGTTAATACTGTTTTATAGGCTATGTTTCTCTATCATTAAAGTTAAAATCTACAAAAGTAATAATTTAAAATGGTTAACTAAGGAACTTAAAATTTGCAGCAAAAATAAGAGAAAATTAAGATTTGCACACTACAACAATAGAACTATCGAGTATAATAATAAAAATGAACATAGTATATTTTTAGAACCCACAAATGCAATAGATTTAATGGTCTACCATGTATATGTTTGCTCCATAATTCGTTACGGCATTAATGTTTGTGGTTACTCATCAGAAATAACACGACTATTTTTAGCGCAAAAGTAATCACTTCGTGCAATATTCGGTTTGAAATGGACAGATTCATGCAGGCCTGTTGTATCTAATAATCTGTTGACCGTCCCTAGTATGTTCATCTACGAAGTAGCTAAATTTGTGAATAGCGTTTGTGTGTAGCTAAATAAAGAGCTCTTTGAACTCAAGGATAATACCAACAAACGTAAAAATACTCACTCGTATCTTAAATTACCAGTACCTCGTCTATAATTTTTTTGGTTGAGCTATGTCTAGATGGCACCACTTATTTATAACGCGTTGCCGGAGAATATTGCAACTCTTTTACTCTGTCAATTACTTTTTTTAAAGTATTCTACTCAGTCAGAACCCTTCAAAAATGCATTTGTGCATGCATTAGTGTAGTTAATTTTTTTAATATGATTTTTGATATTTCAATTGGTATGCAATGTAATTTAATAGCAAATTAGTCATCAATTTAAAGTTTTTCATTTTTTATCAGGATAATTTAAAAATTTGCATGCTATCTAAATTTAGCGAAATGTGTCTTGTGCTTGTATTATAAACCACCTACTGTGACTACCACATTTCTTGGAAATAAATATTATTGTTATTAACATTATGGACAGAAAAATACATTTAAAAATATAAATAATAGTGTCCCATCGGTATCGGGTACAGGGACCAAGATATCGGTGGTTAGGACTCCAGAAACCTCACAATACGTGCCGTATCGAGAAGAACTGCAATCTGCATCAGACCCTTAATCCAACTGCCTTACGCAACTCCATGGGCCGATATGACTATCGGTACAATGATTGCCAAATCCACATATATAATATTATTATAACATCTACGATAGAATAACTTTGTAGCTTCGATTAACAAATATCGTCAAACAAAACCTTATGTACGGATTTGAATACATTTATAAATATGCTTATCATTACTACTAACTCATCAGTTCTACGTTGCAGAAACGCTGACTATTTCATTTTCATTTACTTCGATAAAACACAGGATAAGATAAGTATTATTTCATTATAGCCTGTTCAACTTTCTTTGACAATTGATTGATTGGTGTCTGAGGTCTGAGAAAAGACTTAATATAAAGTTATAATGAGGTAACAGGAAACAAATGTATTTAACAAGAAACTTTGGTTTATCCATAGATATGTTTTAGTCTAATATACGTTTTTTTTGTTGACGGGGTTGGAAAATCCCTTCGAATCTCCTGCTCCTTGAAGAAGCTGGGGCCAGGAATAGGTATGTGGTGATTCCACCGAAAGCCACCCCGACGGCCGGCCTCAAGCACACTACTCTATGAGGACCCGGACCATATATATGACTTCAGGTCCACCCAGAATCGACACCACGCCTTAAAGATGTAAACTTTCCGCCTCCCCTTAATAGCGGCGTGGCGGCCCCCACTTACCGCAGTAATTAATCTGACACCAGAGGTCTCCACTCTCGGCAGCCCGCGGCCCCTTCGACAGCTGATAGTGCGCCGTCTACTCGGCCCTCTCGCGATCCCGATTAGCGGTCTCTTTCTGTAGCATAACAGATTCTCAGAAAGAGACCACTGCGCTCTCCTCACCCACCAGCATGGCGGTAATAATTGTTGGCGGGGACAGGTCTCGTCCAATTTGGTCGACCAGGAACTCGCGTACAGACGCCCACGCGGGGCAGTAGCTGTAGTAGTATGCTGAGTGGAATCCCAGTCTACTGCACTGTGCTGGCATTGTGCCGTCTCCTCCGATTAGTCCAATCTACTTCTACAGATATACATTTAACTGGTATTGTTCCAAGTAATTCGGAAACATAAAAGATACTTACACTAGCATATAAATCAAACGTGTCCATGTATCGAACGCGTCTGGTGTCCGGATCAGTTCGCACAAGTTTATCCTTGAGCATCCTCCAGGGAAGGCCCAAGTGCGTTGTCTCTTCCATCGCTTGACACCAATCGCTGATCGAAATGTATCCTATAGACATTGAAATCCCACATCAAAATAAACAAATGTCAATAATAATTCCCATTTCGTTAAACATTAAAAAAAATGTATTTTTCTGACTAATTTATATCTATAATATTATCATAATATGATCATGAATCATCAAAATATGTTCCTAATAGCCGAATATGGTAAATCATCATGACGATGATAAGGAGTCTGATGATTTAGTTATTATATCTAACAGTGTTACGAATTTTACACATTGTTTAACCTTTACAAGTATTATAGATTGTTACCGCTTTGATCCAAATCCATGCTACGGAAAGTTGCCTCCAAAGATCTTCGTACTGTCATTATCTGGTTGTGCAGCTCTCGCATTGCCGAAGACTCCACTAAGCCGACTCTCTGACGGAAAGTAAGGCGGCGAGTTCGAGACACTGCGGCTGTATATTGTACAAACTGACGCTCAAGAGAATTGCCACAGAGTTTCAGGTAAGCCCCTTTGTTAGAGCCGAGCTCGTAATAATTGGAGGCCGAGAAGATTGTAATTACCTGTCAAGAAAAAATAATTTATTACTTTTGTAAAGAAAAAGTTGATTGCCTTGTCAGAGTGGGGGTTGCAATGTGTCGATTTTCATTTACCCACTACAAAGAGTAAAATTTTAGATAATTGAGGAAATTTTGAAAGATTTGAAGAAATTTCTTTTCTTACCATTTTTGGAACTTTAAAAATAGATATTCTAAATCTACATCGTTCCCGTTTTAAATTAAACACTAAAACATTTTGGTTTAATTTACAAACTATTCTATAACTATTCTATTCTATTTCTTGTGTTTTAAATATTTCATGAATAATATTGGCAGCCAGTCGTTAAAGTAAATTCTTTACCGATTAAGTATTAATTATTGCAGTCAGAGTAAGTCCATCTAAGGAGAGGCGTATGTCCAGCTGTAGACTATTTAAGGCTTCTAAAACATGTAATAAAATCCAGTTCAGTAGCTTCTTTCTACTAACCAAAGAGAATAGTAACAATTTCATGAACATTTTATCTATAGAAGCTCTTTATAATGAAAACCATTGTTTTTTTTGGACCGAAATTCGCCTCCTACATTCAAATGTAAACAATGTATTGGAACAATTCGCTTCTTAATTTCTATTAACTTACATGTTAAAATATTTTTGTTTAGATTTTATGATTGCAATAGGAATTCTATTTCAATTTAAAAGATAGTTCGATAGATAGATAGCATTTCAATCCGTCTAACATAATAGAAATTGCCAAGAAAGTTGCTTTGCCACTATAGGGTTCTGGCTTAGGTACTTTCATTTTCTTTCTAGGTAAGAAGCAAGAAGCCAAGGTGAGATACTACCATGTTAGAGTTAATACACAACAAAATTTAACCCTTGACTTTCAATATTTTTTTCATGCCCATTGTAATTTTTTATTGAAAAAATATATTTATTCTCGTTTTGTGAATTGGGTAACACGACGGATGATATGTTACTAATGTACTTGACATCAGATAGTTATTGAATGGAATTGAAATTTAATATAAACGAATAAGATCAAGACTTTCCAAGCAGGCAAACAGAACCGACTTTCAAAGCGTACAATTCATGGAGGAAAACATGATTTACAATTTTTTACATCAGTTTCTATTAAGTTAGTTAATGGCGTGAATGTTGTAACATTCATTTTTAACGCATACAGTACTAATATGCAAAGATATCGCGCTACTATACAACATGCTAACAAATACTCTCAATAAAGTCAGTTCAATATTACCACTTCGTGATTTTACTCTCAGTGAGAATACTATATACAAGTCATCTCAAAACATATATTATTAACACTTTGTGGTGTCAAAAGGGTAACCTTTTTGAGAGACAACGTAATAAAAGCGGCACGTTTGCAGTACAACATATTTACATAAAAATGAATGAGGTTTTCAGGATTCAGGCTCATTCTTTCAGAAGATATTAAGATCGACTGCTTGCTTCACACTATGTTCACACATCCTGGATTCGCTTTATAGACATTTATTTCTCAGAAAAAAGAGCAATAGAGTTCACTTACATAATGAGAAAATGTAATAACACTAAATATTAACTACATATACTCGTCTTATAATGGTCAACTTCAAAAGAATTTTCTTCCACTTCCATAAAATCTCTATGTTATTGACGAGATAAATTAAAATTGCTGTCTAAATTTTAACAAAGTTATGGAACACCAAATTATTTTTTGAAGATAGGAACTTTTTAGATCGGAACTCGGAGACAATAATATCAATTCTGAAAGTTACAAACTTTAATATTAATTTTAAAATTAGTTTGTTTTAGAAAGCAACAAAAAGTACCAGTGAAACCTTAAAATACTCTTCTTTCATTATTTGTTTTATGATTTTCTATATAATATACACAATAGAAATAATCTCTGTTTTGTCAAATAGTAAGAAAAGAAAATTAATAAAAATTATGCTTATACAAAATCTATGATATGCCTGTGCCAATCCACAACCGCCCGTTTCCAAGGGGCTGAGCCTAATCAGAAGAAAGGGCAAACAAACTCATGGCCACTCTTTTGCAATGCACAGATAAATACAATGACATCATTTAATAATATATCACAATATTATTCCGATGTTTGCCAGTGTGTCCGTTATTAAAGATTAAAAGGTAAAAAACCAATAAAGAGAAAAATAAGATTATGAAAAAAGGTAAAATAAAAGAAAAAGTGAATTAAAACTTAATAAAAAGAAACAAAAATAACCCCCTAGCCCACATCACATTTCCACTTAAGAAATAGCCTGCGCTAAATTATTCCCAAGCATTTTTGTCTTCTATGTAATCCACAACCGAGTGATAGACTTTTTGACATAATTTACGTTTAATTGCGGATTTTTTAATACATTGGACGCATTGTCTTCGAAACGACTTGTTTTCTTTTGGAGCCTAGAGGCAGGCACTACAAGTTTATTTCTATTTCTGGTATTTATAGAATGTACATCACATTTTTTCAAAAAGCTATCCTTGTTTTTATGATCATATATTACATTTTCATATACACGGTGATTTTAAAGGCCTTTTGGAAACGAAACATTTTAATTTGGAATCATCTATAGTACCAATAAAAATGGTTAAATCAATTGTAATGTTGACTTAAAAAAAAGTTTCACTTTTAATATTCATTTTTACTCGATCGACTTGGAAAGTAGTAATGCACTGATCATTCGTTCATTATCTTATATGAATGAAACACGTCCGTGCGCGTTTCGGCGGCCGCTGCGCACCGCTGACGCTAACAGCAGCTGATAAAAGTATACCTATAGGCGCGAGCCAGCGAGTACTTACGTAGATAGACTCCAGTTTTTCCTTCACACAGTTTTTCCTTTGTTTTTCCTTTTTACACGGGCTTAGGACCGACGGAAATACCTATTTTATTTAAACTTCTTTTCGATTATTAACCACGATTGTTCTTGTCAAATCAATTTATCAACGGACTGTAGGTATAAATATTTCAGGCGTATTAAAAAAATCGGAGCTACAGAATAATGAACTTACATACCTATTTACAGTTTATTTACACTATTTACACTTCTCTGTATCGAAGCAACTGCTCAAAATGGAGTCCGCTGCGTTCAATGCACAAACGTCCACGTTTAATGCAATTGTTTTTTAATTTTCTTAATGTGTCTCTATCACTTTTCACTTTATCAAAAGCGTCCACTATCGCAATGCATAAATCATCACGGCTTTCATATTCCCGTGTATAAACAAGTCTTTTTATTTCCGACCATAAGAAAAAATCCAGGGGCGTTAAGTCCGGGCTTCTAGGTGGCTAAGGCACAGGTCCTCCTCGACCTATCCACCGATCACTAAACTCATTGTCCAGGTATGCACGCACTACACTCGCGTAATGAGCGGGACAGCCGTCGTGTTGGTAGTACATACCTCTCGAGTAAGCTAACGGCACATCGTCTACTAACTCAGATATTACTGTCCTTAACATCTCTAAGTACGAGTTGCCGATAAGATGACCTTCAATAAAAATAGGCCCTATTAATTGGTCGTTAATAATACCGGCCCAAACGTTCACACTGAAACAAACCTGGTGATGGTTTTCTCGTATCAAGTGGAGGTTAATTAGAGCCCAGTAATGCTCGTTGTGCACATTGTATAGTCCCACTCAAGTAAACAGTGACTCGTCCGTCCAGAGTATGTTGGCGTTTGTATTATTTAACAACCACTGGCAAAAGGCGATTCTTGCCGGTGCGTGAGTGTTGTTTATTCCGTGAGCCTTACGAAAATGATACGTAATATCTTCCATACGAAGTTTTGGCTAACATCGAATTCTCGTGCTGCCATCCTTGTGCTCCGCTGGGGATCGCGCTCGAAGTACTCAAGAACATCTTCTTCAAACTCCGGCGAATAATAATTTAAACGTCCTTGACCTTGCGCATGTCACGATGTTATGGTATTACTGACCGACTAAAAGCGAAGGACGCATCAGGATTACAGGTGAGTCCCGCGCATGCGCCTACGTATGCCCGACTCAGTGCAATGCCGTCATTGGTTGGACGACTCCGGCGCAACTCGGTAGCTTTGTTTTTATTGGCGAATACGATTTTGTGTGACTCGATATTAAAACGTATAGTATTTCTATTTGTAGTGTTTACCTACGTGTGATTGAATAGCGCTACTACTGGTTCTCACTTTTTCTCTGTAAACGATATGAATATCGACTTAGATGCAAAAAAAAATATATATTGTATTAAATTAACGTTATATATAGCTTCTGGTATTGATAAATAATTCAAATTTTTCTGTTCCAAAACGCTTTCAAAATCACCGTGTATAGGGGAGAGTAACCGATAATGAATTGGACCACTTCTGTATTTCTACCAAAATGGCACTATTTGGTATAGTATATTGGCACAAAAAGGAGCGCTACAAAATGGCAGAGTATTAGTGGCGCTGCTACCGCTTCTTTTTGTGTTGCTAGTGTAAAAAAAATAGTGCCATTTTGATAAAAATACAGAAATGGTCCAATTTGAGCGCCGGTTCAATATTGGTTACTCTCCCCTATATTGACATGCCACTGTCATTATGTTTATTTCTTTAAATTTCTGCCTCTAATTATAAAGTGCTCGAATCCCTATCTTTTGCAGTACAAAAAGAGTTTGAATATCGGCAGCATTCCCTCACAATGGAATACCGTACGACATTATGCTGTGAAAATAACTGAAGTAGACAATTCGTGCTGTATAGACATCAGTCAACTCTCGAATTTTTCTTACTGTGTATGCTGCTGAGCTAAGTCTACTCGATAATTTATCAATATGTGGGCCCCACTGTAGCTTAGAATCTAGTAGTGTTACACCTAAAAATGTCGTAATATCAACAAGGTCGAACGCGACATCCTTCATCATCACATTAGTTTTCACTGGCTTGACGTTTGGTATAGTGAAACGTATAACTTTGTTTCTTTTTTCATTAAAAAGCAAATTGTTGACATCAAGCTAATGAACCACTTTCAAAATGGCGCTGTTTACGTCTGTGAAATTAGTAAGTGTCCGTTTCAGTCTAAATAGTAGTGATGTATCATCTCGAGATTGTCCTTGACAAGATGAGGTAAGTCGTTAATATATACTAAAAACAGAAAAGGGCCGAGAATAGAACCTTGTGGAGCGCCCATTTCTACCACAGAGCCTGGAGACCGCTCACCATTAATATCAACTATCTGAATCTTATTATCCAGATATGAAGCAAGAAGAAACAGAAAACCGGTGTTAAGCTATTCTTTCGTTGCCTTTCACTGAGTGAGTGAGGTTTCCGGAGCCCAAATTCCCCCTCCCGCCGACTCGAGCGGGAGGGACTCCAAGGGCAGCAACGCACTTGTGACTTTTGAGTTCCAGGTGTCCATAGGCGGCGTTAGTTGCTTACCATCAGGTGAGCCGTCAGCTCGTTTGCCACCTTATGCCATAAAAAAGAAAGTTCTAGTGCTTTATTTTTAATACCATAGTACTGTAATTTCCTGATCAGCGTTTCATGAACAACACAATCAAAAGCTTTAGATAAAACGCAAAAGAGACCTAGAGAATCGTGGGCATCCTCCCAGGCATGAAATATATGTTTTACTAGCTCAAGACTGGCATCAGTTGTTCAGCGACTTCTTTTAAAACCAAATTGTCTATTGTGTAATACATTATTATTAATAAAAAAACTTCAAACTGGGAAACATATTGGAACTTAATTAAATTCTCAATCCTTCTAAGGAGTCATAATACTTTGAAATAGTAACACTATTCTATCATTACCGGCGAATAGCTAAGATAAATACTACATATTTATTTATTTTCTTTAAAGCTCCAACTGCCCTTAACGATTGCCACAGATGTTCGTATGGCAACCGGGACTGGCGGCGTTAACGTACTCTCTCTTTCTTTAAAACATGATTACAAAATTAATAGTGACGATATCTGTAAACACTTGTGAAAACCAGTTATCATCATGAAAGGTATACCTACCTGATAGGAGAATTTCTACAGAATGGTCTCAGGCAAATTCAATAAACACATTTGGCCACACATGTATCTCTCTCACATAGGGAGAAGCCTATTGCGGCCAGAGAGCACTTTCACACACACACAAGCATTACAGGTTTATCTAAATACGTTTATGCGTGTTTTCGAGCATAGTCACGGTCTCTAACGGGTTATTTAACAATTTTAACAAAAATCGTCTGAATTGGTAAACAAGTTTTGATACCGATTGTCTCATCGGGTAACACAAAAGAGTATTTTAAATATAAAATTGTCTATGGTTACAAATGCAACATTTAACCTTTTTTTATACCTGATAAAAAATTTACAATGTGACTTGTATAGCACTTGTGCACGAGACTGATAAAAAAATAACGGTAATGATATATATGGTGGTGATATAAAACCCTTCACAGTCGTGGCTGTGTGAAGGGTCTTATATCAACACGAAGCAAAAACGAGGTTTGTCCCATGAGTACGTTTCCTTATAATACAACGAAAACATTTTACATTTGACAGTTATGACACTTTCCCATATAACATAAAATCTCAGAGGTAGTATAAAGTATAGGTTTTATAGTAATTCAAATGTCTAAGAAGATACTCGTAGTTCTATTCTCATATTTTACAAAGCCTTGAACAAAGGCGACTGTCTAAAGTAATATTCGAATAGTTTCAGTTGATTATCATGAGTTTGACTGACTTATTGTGGATTAGCAGTATCTCAGATCAATATTGTTTATTCAATTTTACAATCAGTGTTATATCTATTTAGAATAATATTGTCAATAAAACAAAAAAGCAGAATGTATAAGATTATTTTGAGCTTATGCATAACCACAAAAGATAGCAACAAATAAATTTAAAATTATACTATAACGCGCATTAATAGCTTATATCTGAACGTTTTTAATAACTGATCTAAGATCAAGTTAATAATAATGAAGATGCAGCCTACCCTAATTTAAATTTGACAATCCATACTAATATTATAAATGTGAAAGTGTGTCTGTCTGCCTATTACCTCTTTACGCTTAAACCGATGAACTGATTTAGATGAAATCTGAACAAATAATACTGAAGCGGTGTACAATAAAGAGATGAATAAATACAAATAATTATTTAAAATGTAAATTGTTGTGTTAGTAAAATATTGTAATATCTATTGTGTTTGTTGTTTTTTGTGTAAAGTAAAATTATAAATTGCATAAATAACAACAGAAATTAAAGTTCATAGTTTACAATTTCTTACGCCGTGTTTCCCTTAAGAAGCTCTATTTTTGCAAGTTCTTTAAAAAAACTGGAATCTTAATTGCTTGTTTATGAAAAATGATTTATTTAAAAACAGTGACTAGCCCACTATCAGGGCGTTATTAGTTGATAGTAGTTTAGACAACTACTTTTCACTTATTCTATTATTTTTTAAATTGCTGAACAATTTTTAAAAATCGCCCACTAAAAATATAAAACAGATTACTTTGTTATTAAAACAAAAAAAAACTGTACTTGCCTGTGTCAATTGATCTATCTTTGCCTTATGCAGAATAGTTTAGACTTGTGAATAGAATTTGCAAAAACTGTCCCTTAAACAAAGCCCCAAATAGTGACAGAATTTAGTAAATTGTATTATAGCTCTCTATACTTATACATATAAATATGTATGTGTGTTATTATTTCTATTATTTAAACTAAAGTAAATTAAATAAAATATGAGTATAAAAAAGGTGCACTGAAAAAAATAAAAGAAAATAAAAGACGGAAAGTAAGATAGATCACATTAGGTATTACGTATTTGACGTATTTATCATACATATATAATTCATCATAATTTATTAGTGAGTAATAGTTTTAACTTTCATTTATCGATTTACTGTGCACAACTTCACGTTGTTGTAAAAAGTAAAAATGGAACCCTGAGGCCAATACAATAAATTTATGTTTACTACTTATTTTAAGACTTTATATTTCGTACAAAACTAATTTTGATTACATTTTTTTACCTCAGTGAAAAACAATAACCCTTCAAAGATAAATTCAATGGAGTAAATTACATTTTAAAATTAATGTGCTTACTATTTATTTACGTGTTATTGTACGACGCAACCTTAATGTTTAAAAAGTACCTCTTTCCCGTGAGCTTACAAAGATACAAGCTCTACAGATGGGGCTGAAGTATAGAGATAGCGGCTACCTATTTACCTTTTTAAATTAATAGGATTTCGTTACTTTGCTGAGCTGGTTTGATAATGTATAAAATCTAATTTGTGTCCCTACTGAGTTAATTTGTGTAAGGTGTGCGTGTTAAAAAGTATTTGATCCTTTTTCTGTGTTCCTTGTTTAGGAATTTACATTACATAAAATAAAAGTAAATTGATTAGTTTTGTTTCTTGCCCAGAATAGTATTCATAGGAGAGACCTTAGGACCTTAGAAGGGACAAAAAGTATTTTTTCTTTGGCAAAGAAATTAAGACTTTCTATTAGAGCTGTGTAAATCAGGGCTACTTCCTGATTTACACAGCTCTTATAAAAAGTCACTGCGGTTCTTCTTTATTCATTAGTTGGTCACTTTGAACTAGAACTTAGTCAAAAAAACTTCTACAAAAAACACACAGAACATGTACGTGGACTCATTTTGTCTAATATTCTAGGGTTTGCTAGCTTGATGCTGTTTCGCTACTATCAGGCTACGAGGTTATAAAATTTTTAATCAACCAATTACTTACATTTCCATTGTGCATTAGCTCATATCCACCAGGTTTACACTCATGACTTCTGATGAGGAAACTGAGTTTGTTCTTCTGCAAAAACGTAGCAGTGACATCAGGGCCGAAGTACGTTCCAGCTCCACGTAGGGCATTCGCCACACAGCCTCCAGTGCACTGCGGGTCTGACCACAGGATGTCAAATACCTATGAAAAGAAGAAATATTTTTTTATCATTATTTTTATATCTACACATAGATAGAGGGACAATTATGACACATGTATACACATACCGCGGTGCACGTATGCTGCCTCTGAAGTATACAGGTTTATTGTCAGATACATAATGTGGTTTTTGTCGTGCACTTCATTTCTTGTTATTGTTTTATTATATACTAGCTGACCCACGCAATATCGTCTGCGCCTCCCAAAAGGATTTTTTTTTTCTAAAAAATAAATAATTGATGCTTGGCTTCTATTATCTAAATAGCCTTTCTCGATAAATGGGTTATCCAACACCAAAATTTTTCATTTCAATAAATTAAAAAATAATAAAATTCGAAAGACTGAAAGTATCAAAATCACTCACTACAATGCACCAGTCAACTCTTTAGGCAAAGTACACTTTCTTCTTCAAGTATTTTACTAGTAGCTGTGTTTGTTCGAGTTGCATTTCTATTTCGTTATCATCTATATATGTGTGTAATGAGAGATAGACATATACAACAACACCCTCACATGCACCGGATCCTCATCTAATAACCTCCTTTGACATGATGTAACTAAATGTCAACCAATCAGGCAGTGAATGGACGGGCGACCCCTTTTGACCTCTTTTACGTCTTGCGACTGTTAATGAAGATTAGGTAAATACTAAGAAGACCGATGAAATAAGAATTTTAACCGTCGCACAACATGAGGTAAGCACCGACCGTTAACGACACCCACCTTTTCCACCTAATTCTAGAGAGATGGTACTCAAATGGTGGATACACACTTGTGCCTCTTGATGTGCAGGTGTCTATGGGCGGTGGTAGTTACTTACCGTCAGGTGACCCGTACGCTCGTTTGCTCCCATTCCGTAAAAAAAGGCGCAGAGGAAAATATTATTGAATCTTATAGTGATATTCAATATAAGTTATAATATTAATATCACTTTATTGTACACCAGGTATAAATATTAAAAAAATCAACTTAAACTAGAAGTGGCGGCTTTATCGCTCGGAGGCAATCTCGTACAAGCAACAGCTAACGTTATAGTTGAAATCTATTTCCTAAACACATTTGTTCATTTGATTTTTTGATGCCCTATGAATAAACGATGCTTAATTTATTACACCACGTACATTTATTCGAACATACATTTCTCTTAATCTACTAATTTTGTCTAAATATTAATATAATTAAAAAACTACTAGTAAACAAAAGATTTCAAAATTGCATAATAGAGAACAGCTTTAAATATTTCAACTATCAATTAGGATGCCAGTAAACGCTGCTATTATTGAAGGCAGATACTCCAGTAAAGACACCATCCAAGACTCTTAATCGTATTATTATTTTGAAGTAAAATTTCATAATTTAATTGTTTCTCCAGGTAAGCTAACCGTCGTCAGGGGCAAACGGAATGTTTAAGTGAAATGTTGACCTTTTACAGTCCAAACATGTATGTACATATTTGTTTCATTATGTTTCATTTAATTTTATTAATAATACGAATTATACAAATAAGAACGACAATAAGATAAATATACTATTCATTACTGCAAATATTAATATAGTTAAGAATCGCTATCTCATTTTAAATTAATCTCTTCAGTTGGGTTTGGACGAATGCTATGTGATTTGTTTTAGAATTTATCATAATAGTATTCCTAAATATATTTAAAATGTAAATTGGAAAAACCAGAAACATCACTCTTTTCTTTCTTACTCTAAGTATAAACTCCAAATGTTCAAATTATATTTTTTTGAAAATATAATACATATTTTCTGTCAGAAGAATTAATAAATATATAAGTATGTTCATTTACGAGTACAAATATAGGTTTGCTCCTTATTACGTGCTAGTTTTTGCCTGCTGCTCCGTTCGCGTGGATGTTGGTTATCGGAGTAAAAAGTATTCTCTAGCACTCACGGATAATTAACCTTTCTAACAGTGAAAGAATTTTCAAAATCGGATTAGTAGTAGCGGAGATTGTCCCGAACATACAAACTCACAAACCTCTAGATAATATTATTTATTAATTTTTCATTTATTTATACATCTTTATTGTATACCGCTACATAATACATTTGGTATTACAATAGGCGGTCTTATCGCTCACGGCGATCTCTTACAAACTTTTACACTGATATTGTCTAATCTGATTTGGGTTAGTCTGTAGAGCAAACGCCTGAGTGCGACACCACTGCGATGGCCGGACCGATGACACGGTGCTCCGCACGCTGGCAGAATGCCCGGCGTGGGTGGAGCAGAGGCCTCGTGCCTCGTGGCGGCCATCGGAGTTCGAATTCTCTGCCGTGGCCTTTCTTCGAGCAAGGTTGCTTGCAAAGGAGGTGGCGGAGGGGGACCGGGAGAGCTTTAGAACTCTCCTGGCCCGCCAGGCCCGGCAACGAGAAAGGTACCGCAGACGCAGAACGACCTCCGTTCTCCATAAACGCAGGCCTGGGTGTGGCAGGTGAGGCCATCTGAAGCAGGCCGGAGTGGTGGCGAGACGTACTGCGGAGCACAAAGCTTTCGGGAGCACAAAGGGGACATAGGGTTTCCACACAGGAAGGGGTAATTTACAGGCCGTAGATGGCCCGAAGTACGTCTGGGTATCAGGGATTTCCTTCCTAGGGTACACCTGGTTCCCCAGCAACTGGTACCCGAGACGGTGTGCAGTTTTTTGTCGGTTCGAGTCCGACATAACCACCGGTATCCGGGGGAGTTCCGCACAGAAAAAAAGGATAGTTGGTGGTGTCCTTATACAAATTATTTATAAAAAAATAAACATACTAAATATGTTTACAATATACATACTACTAACACGTATAAATCCATATAAATAATAAACACATACAAAGATTACAAACGTTAATACAAATCAAATCAAAAAAAAAAACAACCTGTGACGTACCAAGTATTAACAACAATCAACAGCTCTAACAATGTCAAGTAGTAATTTTTGACTTGTTTTTTTGAATAATTACAACGATTTAGCTTTTCGTATTGCCCTGAGTAAGTTGTTCCACAGTCTAACTGCCTGCACCGAGAACGATTTTTTACTAAATTGTGTGGTATGCTTGGTATTAAAATAATTATAGTCAGTAAAACGTGGGCGTTTCATAAGCCTCCGTCGTAACCATTAGAGTATATGTGTGTAATGTATTATATAACTAGCATACTATATAACTAACTAACTTCCCGCTACTTCGTTCGCGTGGAATTTGGTAGGCGCTGCCTTAGTGGGTTGGATTCCCGGACCGGGCAACATTTTATAGGGTTTGCCTGAAAGGGAAAATAGCCTAAGTTACTCCTTATATAGACTGCTACCTGTTCGTAAAAAATATCAAAATCGATCTAGCCGTTTAGAAGATTACCTGGAACAAACAGACAGACAGACGGACAGACAAGAAAAAATTGAAATGGTTTTTAGGCATAGGTATCGTGCAAATAACCGTGTGAGCATAAAAAAAACTATTATTTTGACACTACACTTTTTTACAACTAGACACTTCAATTTTATTTATTCAATAATCTTAAAATAATTAAAATCATTCAATAATCTATACTCTATACATAGAGTATAGATTATTGAATGATTTCATCATCATCAGTAAAAGAACCGGCAACGACTTTGGGATCATCCGGCAAGAAACAAACCCGTCTCCATGGATAGGACGCAAAGAAACGCGCATCACATCCCAGTCCGCTGACCTATAGTGCCATATGCGGCGGCAGCCTGCAACTGCAACATGAGTGGCACCGTATTCTGCACTAGGCAATGATCAAACGAGCCAAGTGGGGCCTCAACGATGACTTTACAGACTTTAGATCCGGACGATCAGAGGTTAGCAGAAGGTCCAACAGTGAAGGCTCACAACTTTCCACATCTGGGACTCGCGTGGGTGTTGATACCAGTTGTGACAAGCCATAGGGCAAAATCGTGAACAGATCTCCCCGCGTGATGGGTTTCGCTTGAGAAAAAAAGCTATTCGGGGTTGTGAGCGTTAAAGTCGCCAAGAAACACGATCTCTGCGGATGGGATCTGCTTCATCACAGAATCTGTAGCTATTTGGCCGTGGTCCATCAGTCGGTCAGTTTCGGTATCACCGCTATGGAACCTGTAGAGGCATGCATAGACGCAGGGATGGTTGTTGCTGTCTACACAGAGCCACAAAATGGAAAAGTCCCGTCTTTCAAGATCGCCGAGGCGGCGAGAACTGATATGATCTTTAACGTAAAGCCTCACTCCAGCCCTAGCAACGAAGGAGTGTTCCAGGTGACAGCCAGGGTAAGAGAGGTAGGATGTGTCCGATGAAGATGATATCTGCGTTTCGGTTAAAAGTAAAAAAAAAAACACTAAATTGAAGCTGTTTCGGTTTATTGTAACAAAGAATTTGTTACAAGAAAAATGATTTAAATAAAAGATTTTACTTTAAGAATTTAGTAGTGAACTCTTACCTAGTAGCGTTGTAGCCAAACTAAAATGTTTAATTTTATTCAAATTGACTTTAAGCTCCAATTTTATAATGAGGAAAGTTTTCACACTCCGTTTCGTGAGCAAATACATTTTATTTTATTTTTATTTACCTGTGTAATCCTGGCTGATGGTAAGTAGCTTATACTTAAAGCTTAATTTCTTTCGGAATATGAATTGTTAGTCGGTCTTTCGTTGTTGGAAAATAAGCATATTACGATACCCTTTTTTATTAACCGACTTCAAAAAGGACGAGGTTATCAATTCGGAGTTTGTTTATGAATGTTTGGGCATAACTCCTTTCGAAAGGGAGTTATTCCGAAATGGTCCTATTTAATTTTCAAATAGATCTGATGATGAGTTTCGGAGGCAGACAGCGGAACTCTTCAAAAAATAATAGCAAAAAAGCAAAAAGTTCTTTGTTAAAAATTGTTTGATTAAAGTCGGTTCAACTTTTTTTAATAAAAAGGATTTATTGATTACTATCCACACCAAATTTAAACGGGTTTATAGTAAATAAGT